AGTTGCATGTCTAATAATCATAATATATTAATATTAAATATGGTAATTACCAGAGGGTATCCTATTAACATGGGAATAGTTGTGAAAAGCGTACGAATATTCATATGCCAGCCAACAAGTGAGCTGCAGACCACAGTCCACAGCGCCCATCAAGATTGGATCATTTTTTATGCCGCAGATTTAGGCTTCCAAAGTAGCTGCAATCCTCACTCCTGGGATGGAGCAAGACCCCGAGCCACTGGTCTTACATTATTTTCATTACTCGATGTCCCCCATGGCCAACCATGTCCATTTCCACCAATGTAAAGTCAACTTAATGATAGTGAAATGTATTTCAGTTGTTATTTCGATGTTGGTTTGGTATCATTTAAACAGCAAATTCCCATATACTCAGCCCACAGGTCTCTGGTCTTGAAAGACATTGTTGACCAATGGGTCCGTGAAGTTGGCGCACCCGAGATCAGAAACAGTGAGGATCACAACTTGGTGTCTGATGCAGAGACGTCAGATGACGCATGTGCTGATCTAGTTGAACCTCTGTCCCAGCTCTTTGCAAACTGGGGTCTGAAGTTGCCTAACGCTTCGAAGTTCAAAGTTTCTCGTCCCAATGCAAATCCTACGTAAATCAAAACGTCTTGGCTAAATTTTAAAAGTGGATCTAGAATCTAAAATTGTTGCCCTCCAATAGCCTGATGACCCAATTGCCCCAAAGCCGCTGCCCAGGCTGCATTCCTTTGGGCCAATGCTCAGTATTCGTTCTTTGGTCCTGATGCCAGGAAGAAGGATATCCAGGCATTGGGAATTTGGGGGAAGGTTTGTGTCCACCGTATAGGTGTTTCCTAAAATGATACCCCCAAATCAATCTATTTCAAAAAACTACTTCATATAAACCATTCATTTTGGGGTACCCGACTTTATGGAAACCCCCATATGAGTCTAATGATTCAAATAATGGCACATCTTGCTAGGACTGGGCGGATATGAATGGTGGGATCTTTCGTGAGCGCGGGCGCTATGTCATCAAGTTGTGGCGCAAAACAAAGTATAGATCACAGATTCCTGGCTTTCAAAAACATATTCAATCATCTAGAAGTAAGAACAGCACATGGTTATTATTTTCCACCTGGTAATGGGGCACTGAGGAATGCCAAGATCCAGTTGCTCAAGGATATCATTTCGGCAAAGGTTGCAGAGACCACAGCTTCATCCCCTGTTCCCGCAGCACCCTCCGTTGCAACAGCAGCAGTAGATGAAACAGCAGCTGCCCACCCAGAGACAGCAGCAGCAGAGGGAAGCAGCCCAGAAGAAGTCTTGTCAAGTGACCCTTCCTCCCCTACCGCCCGTACTGAGATTGATGTTCCTAGGGATTTGGGGAATTCTTGTAGTTCATCTTCTTTGGACACAGAGATGATTGAAAGTGGATGGAGATACGATGAAAAGGAGGCTCGTAAGGCTGAGCGCATGGGTGCCCCTGATGATGTGGCTGAGACACTACCAATGGAAAGTGGGGTCACTTGGCCACCAAAACCTTGGGTGCCTAAGTCAGACCTCACAAGATGGACAACCACGAGGCATTCCCAGGCGTCATTGGTCATTTCTATATGTACTGTTGTGGTTTCATGTGTTTTCAAATATCTTTGGCCCCATTTCTCATGTCTGTGGCAATGCAGGCTACAATCTGCGAATCATCTTTGCCATTGGACGCAACTACCCCAAAGGCCATAAGGTGATCCTATATTCAAGAACATTTTTTCCTGCCCAACTTGAGCAGGATGCGGTCTCCTCTGAGCCATTTGGTGGAGAAGTTGAACATCCGGCATCGGTGGGAGACCTTAGCTAACTGTGATGGGTGGCAAGTCAACCCATCATGACGCCATGGGGTCATATTCGATTTCAGAACTTCAAACCGATCAAGTTCAACATTCTGCTCCAAAATTAAATTGGGTTGCCATTCATTGGGTCTAGATTCTATCCATCTCGTGACTTTATGAGGCTGTGTGCACTGCAGTGGCTTCGCCGATGGATGTGGGGGCCTCACTCCGCCATGCCTAGCTAGCAGCATCATATCATGCGATCTACATCCCAGGTCTCAACTGACCTTGCTACTATGAGAGATGAAGATCAGTCTGAAGAGGTCCAGCTGCGGCGTCGCACAATGTTACATGGTTCTTGTGGATTTACAGCTGGGTTTATATGGGTTGTATGTCAGGAGCTTTCAGCCGAAGAACGCATCAAGCTGAAATCAACTCCCTTGCCAGTCAAACTCTCAGATTTTTTTCAGCTCTACTAATGTGAAGCTGCCAATCGAGTGTGTCAATCCCTACAGCCTTCGCTAAATAATCATGGGGATATTTTTTCAAGATAAAATTATTCTGGTAATGCCCAAGGATGAAGAGATTGAGCGACCTGACAAGTTCCAGAAGGACCGACTGTGAGACACCAAGATGTATACCCGGGGACCGTATACTTCATTCAACCATGTTTAGTTCGATCATGAATTTTCACCTGGTTATTTTGTAAACTTCCAGGATAGTGCATTGGTTGCCAATCCTCCTGATGCTGCTGCGGTGCTAGCTTCACTCCCGCCCTTGGACACAATTGAGGGCACCGACATTCTCGCAGCCCAAACTCGCATGCTTCTAGCCTGGTCATACTGTGAGATTGAATGGTATATTTCAGTATTTGCACACATGCATACACATATGTACCTTCACTGTCGGCTCAGGCGTGCAAATGCCAGAGCAGAGCACCGGGAGAAGAAGGGAAAGGGCAAGGGAAGAGGAAAGGGAAAGGGCAGGGGGAATGCCGGAGGTAAGGGCAAAGAGGGGAAGAAGAAGCCAAAAGGAGGAGGTAGAGGAAAGGGAAAGACAGCTGTCAAATGTAGCAGGACTGCCATGTCTCATGTGATGTCATGTGTGTTTAAAAGTTATATCTCTGGATCCTATGCATCACTAAAGTGTTTGTGAAAGTCTGAAAACGCCAGGAAGAGATCAGCAGAACCGTTGGAATCTGAGGAAGCTGAGTTGGATGATGAACATGATGTAGCTGATGTTCCAGCACCACCAACTGTGCCTGGAAGATCTCGGAAACCAAGAAAATCCAGGACACAACCTCAGGCTAAGGGAAAGGCGTCGAAGGTCAAAAAGGAAAAGCAGGAGGAGGTGAACGAGGATCTTTCAGGCTTGCCATATAGTCTCTTGTAATTGTCTTTTTCTCCATCATGTATGATCAGGCTTTTGTTAACACCTGATTCAGGGGACGAAAAGAAAAGGCTGATGAAGACTTTCCCCAAGCTGAACCAATTCAGGGCTTGGTCCTAAGATTGCAACATTCCAACCAGAATAGCAGCATTGTGTCTGTTTCAGTTGATCTATGGCAGAATCTATGGCCAGGTCGTTCCATACTGGAGCCGTGGTGATGTTTGTGTTGAGATCAAACAAAATGGTGAACAAAAGAAGAAATCCGTAGGGGCCCCAGCTAGGCTTATCTATTATTTAACATGGGATGTCCAGCCCTTTCCGCTCAGATGGCCTACTGCAGTCGACGCCACTTGCCGAATGTGACCTGGGAGGAGGTGCTGCAGCCGGGCATCAAACTTGTTAGGGTCTTAGACAAGTATGATGGTCAACATTTTTCCTAGCGCTCATGATTGATTAATCAGTTAACACTTCATTTCGCCTAGGCCGAGGAGTTGGACCGCGGTGCTGACTGGGAAAGTTCTTTTGTCAATTTCTACATTGCCGTTAACCACCTGAAGGATCTCAATGCCAAGCGTGCTCAGGACATGTTGCAGTTGGGGCCAGCTGGTGCCTAATTTTGGCATTGGCAGGATTAGAAGTACGCTATAGTACGCTGCATGTTGTCCATAGGACTGGCTAGCCAAGAAATAAATAATGACCATAGTTCAGCAAGAATCCAATTCATTTTTTTGAGAACCCAAGTTTTTGAATGCAATAATTCAATAATCAACAGTGGCTGGCTGGTGGCTGCGCGTGCTGTGTGCATATGCGTTTCTGCATGCCACAAAGACATGTGGTAATTACATTGCTGCAGATCCTGCTGTGCTGGATGTGCCGTCAGAGAGAAACAAGTTGACAGAAGCTTCATTTGATCATTCCATTCGAGAACTTGTTGGACTTACACGTGAATCATGAAATATATTTACATCGCTAGCAATTCCAGATCATAACCAGAAGTTGCCCCCTTGTGCCTGACATGGCAAACCAATACGCCTTGACCGTTGACGAAGTGGCCTGGTTACTGGTATTGGGCATGCCACCGGTGATGAATCTTGGACCCAGGAAATCAAGTCAACAATCTATATGGTCAAACATATCAGCTTTCAAAACACCCTGCCCAATTTATCACCAATTTAGCTCTTAGGATTCACCTCATCGATTACGTGTCTGCCGGCAGTGCGAAGTCTAGAAGAGAACCTTGGCACCAGCACATATCAGATTAAAGCACATGCACACGTGCATGATGAAAAGTCACATGTGGAATTGTATATCGTTATTATATGGTGTTGTGGAAAATGAACAATCATTATATGCGCACGCTGATGTTGTTAACACGTTGGTAACATTTGGAATCATAAAACATGTGGAATTGTAAATTATTAACAATGTACATGTGATATCATGCAAACACAGCTGCAGTGATTAATTGGCAAACAGCTCAGGACCTTTGGGCAGTTGATCTATTTTCTGGCTGGGGTGGAGTCGCCAAGGCTTTCAGTTCCCTTTCTGCGTCAGTTCCCTTTTGCCAAGCATGAATCTCATAAACCAGCACTGTCTGCAAATATTGTTTCTGTGCATCTGAGATTCCATTGGGTTGAAGTGCGCAAAATACGATATCAATTTGGATTCGGTGACGATGGACCTCTTAAACCTGTGCCTTGCCTTTATTTCACAGCATGTGGGTGTCAAATTTTGTACAGCCACTACATGTTCAACTTGACACAATGACATCCACCCTTCACGCTAATCAGGATTGGCCTAATGACTGCAGTTCGATGTGTATTACGTCTTCGAAGGGGTGGCTGCCTATGGGGCGGCCTCCCATGCAGCGCACATGTTTGGATTGCATCAGGGACAACAGGTAAAAGTCCTTCCTTTCCAAGAGGTGACATGAGTGTCCCATGCACCCGAAAAGGAAATTGTTTGGCAGCCCGCTTTTGCCTACTTGCCCTGCTTGCCATTGCGAGACAAGTCTATTGGGGAGGTGAACAACCAGGTACATCAGTGGCTATCCTCTTGGATTACGTTGAATGGGTGATGAACTGCAATCGAAGTATGATTGGGTTTCTCCCATCTACAACAGTTCGATTGATTCTCGTTGGCAAAAAAGCATTGCATATAAAAAGAAATCCTGCCACAGTAAGTGATCATGAGCTTGAAGTCAGCCCATCCAATCCTCATTTGGTATCCCGACTCTGCAGCTGAGTTGGATGGGGCTCTTTGGACATCGCAGCCTGAAGAGGTCATATGTGTTTGGATCCCTGCGCTTGGACTGCAAGTAAGTATGTCTGACCCGGTATGTAACAAGGGTTCCCCTCCGGAATCATGCCTGTAAGTGCCTAGTTGCCGTTAACAATGATGGTTGTTGATCTATATGTTACACCTGCCGTCCATCCCCGAGCTTTTGAGGCCATGGTTGCACATGATCTCCGTGCAATCCAAAGTGACGGAACAAGACCGGCAGAAGTTCAAGTGGAATTCTAGCGGGGTGGTGAAGAAGACTATCAAAAAAGTGAAGGGCAAAAAAGACCATGTGAATGTGTCACTAAGCATCATTGGTTTTTCACTTGAACAATCATATAAACATGCAATTTTATTTAGTTGACTTGTGATACAGCGTCTATGAGTCGCCTAGGTCAGGCGGTCCAAGATTGACGCAAACTGGTGAGTATCCCTATGGCTTTTGCCGCAAACTGGCAGCCTACCACAAAAAGTGGTGTACGGAATCTTGCCTAGCTAATCAAAAACCCGAGATCAAATAATCTGGAATCAGTATATCCCATGGCATATTAGTGGGTTGACTTATAGCCCGCTGTTCTCCAAGGACCTTGGAAATATCCCTGGTGTGCCTTCGCAACAGAAGCTCCAACTGGGCCCAACTATGGAGGTAGGGACTGTCCGTCAGAGAATTTCAGAGATCTAGTCTGTAGCTATAGCGCGGGTGCCTGCAGGTTCCAGCTGGCCTCTGGGATGATGCCCAATTGGTTGCTAGGCTTACTGGGAACATCAAACATTCTATTGTAAAGTTGTAGAAGATTTCCGTGGCAGCTCAGGACTAATAATATTCCCATGCTAAATATCGTAAATAAATGAATATATAGTAGCATTATTATATATATTTATTTAGAGTAGAGTAGATGCTCCAACATCATCCCAACCCTTGCTCCGTCGGAACACCTCTAAGGATGAGGTCGTCAAGTTCTTGAAGTCAGAGGTGATGCTGGGGCACTTCACACCTCGGAAGCACATCCCGATGACTGCGGCGCCGGTGTCAGCTTATCATACCAAGTGTATTTTACATTTGCTGGGGTTGGTCCGCCGGAACTAGTTTAAATCAGCAAATGCTGATCAGCCGGGGCTACATCCCTTGCAACTTGTTGGCTCATTTCCCAACTGTGCTGAATCATATATGAAGCATTGTGCAAAGAGATAGTGTTTATACTTTATATGTATCTTTATGTGCTTGCAATGTTGTTTCCAAGTACAGTTGGAGAGCGCATACAACTTAATTTGACATTCTCAAAGTTGCCATCAAAGTTCCTTGAACAATTCAAAACTATCGAGATTCGTTCATCGTGGGAGGAAATATATGTGTGTATATTGCAATGCACATGTCACAATATGCTTTGGACGCACTAATTCACTAAGTTCTTGAGAATTGGCGTGATTTTCGCGACTTGGTGTGCGCATGTATGCCGAAAATGTATGGTTCCGGCCCAAGGGTGCACATATTTCAGTGTGATTGGTGAAAAACTCACACCGCAAGGCAGGGAAATGAAAAAACAAGGATTTGGAACCGTGAAATAGGAGGTTGGAACCGTGAGATAGAGGGCTGGAACCGTGAGATAGGGACTGGAACCATGAAATAGGGCTTGGAACCGTGATTTAGATTTTCATGGTCTAGATTGTTCAATATTGTTAACATATCATGACAATTTTCTGCCCCTGAAAGGTGATGCCGCCGAAAGGAAGCAGAAAGAAGGCAGACAACTCAAAGGACAACCTAGTTGTCGCACAGAGTGACCCGAACAAAATCAAGGAAATCCTAGAAAAAGCAAAGCAGCGGGCCAAGGCTGCCGTGGGAACTAAGAGTGACACACCTGCCGGAGACACCAAGAAGCTGATTGCACTCCCTCCACCAACCAAACGCCCAGTTCCGCCCACAGATGTCACTGAGCCTACAAGGGAGGTTACCCCCAAACCAAACCCAGGTGGTAAGTCGAGTGGATCAAAGGCTGCACCCCCAGCAACACGTGTGTGTGGCAAAACCTCGCCGCTTGCACCCAGCAGTGCTGCACCATCGGTTGGGTCCGTCGTGGAACCACCTGCTAAGAAAGCCAAAGGTTGTGTCTCTGAGCCCAATGTACCTCCTAGAGCCCCAGGTGATGCTGTTGCACCTGAGCCCAATGTACCTCCAACAGCCTCAGGTGATGTTGTTGCACCAGAGCCCAATGTACCTCCTACAGCCCCAGGTGATGCTGTTGCACCAGCCGCTGATGAGGGTGTACATGCTAGCATGGAGTTGGATTCCAAGCCTTCACCGACCAGTGTTGGTGCATCACCCACCTATGTGACACCGTCACCCCGTGCACATGAGGAGCACCATGATTCAGGTGAAAAACAAACTCGTGGAGACGCACGCCGCACACTTGATTTTGAGGATGGTACAGCACGCCAGGACTGGGATTGGGGACAGCAGAAATATGAGACTTGGGAACATGGATGGGATGCCGGGTACAAGTGGGGCCAGTGGGGCCAGTGGGGCTGGCAGTGGGATAATTGGAAAGAAACTGATGATCTTCACAGTGAGTCAGCTTTTGATACTGCTTCAGTCTTTTCTGATGACGGGCAGCATGATGCAACTCGACAACATGTTCTTGATGCCTTGCAGAGGGGTCCCACTTCATCTGAGGTGGGGTGTGAACTGCCAACCCCGGTGCCAACCCCCAATGAGCTTGATGAGAGTGATGATCATGATTCCCAACCACCGCAGGCACCAGAAGTGCCCCAGACGCCACTGCCAGGTCCAAACACAGATCTAGACACACCAGAAGAATCCACCCCAGCCAGTGCCGAGTCCGATGTGAAGGACGCATCAGAGAATGCCAGCAGTCCAACAGGGAATGGGGGGGTGTCTCCTGAAATGGAATCTTGGAGATGTGACAAACATGGAAACCCACTTTCGCCTTCTGCTCTATACATGCGCTTCTATCGCGGCATTCGTAGTATCACGGCTTCAAACTACGAGTACCATAATGCATGATATGTTTACATGATCATACCCATTATGCAGTTTACAATGTCGTTCAATCAAATATACTCAAATTGCATGCGCGTCCAACATCTTATGACAATAAGGCAAGAAGACGCCAGTGCCGCAAGAAGTTGCCGAGAAGGTTATCGCAGCTGAAAATAGCAACTTGGTTGCAGCTAAGGTCGCAGCCCATAACAATATATAATATTGCTATCATATAATTTTTATGCCATTCATCATGTTATCTATTTAGAGTACTTTGTGCATATGGCTATACATGATATATATATATATATGTATCATGTAGAGATTTTATTTAATTTGTTATGTTTTTGTTATCCAAAAACATTCAAATGGTGCAAGGATTTTATAGACTACCCAGTTTCCACGCTTTACTTGAGGCAAGCACAGGATGCACCAGCTTTATCTCCACTACCTCTCTTGCAAGGGCAACTGGGAGAAGTGCTCCTTAGTGGTGTCCGTCCGCAAGCAGTTTGAGAGCTCATTCCGTGAAACTTTTGAGTTCTGGGATTACAAGAAAATGAAAGAAGTGTTGGGGGAAGCGTTGGCTGATGACTTGGTTGATCGACATAAGAAACAAGAAGAAAAGTTGCCACCAAACAAGAAAGGCATGTTCATTCGGAAGACTCTCGACTTCAACTAACATGTGTGTCATTATGATGAATCCTTTTGCAATTGGGTGCCATCATGTTTATCCCCACTCATTTTTTCAATAATTATACAAGCACCGCTTGTTTCTCAGGAATCCTGACTTCCCGAACAATGAGCTGCTTTGGCGGTACAAAAACTTTGCAGGAGTGGTTGAGGAGAAGACCAAACGTGTCCAACATGAAGCCCAGTTGTCGGCAGAAGCCACTGTTGATGAGGAAGATTTCATGGAGAATATGATACTTTTCTGAATTTCGAAATCAACATCACACGCTTATATGTCAACATGGTGTTTCCAGAATTGAGGATATGACTTGTTGACCTGCTCCATGGCCAAGGGATAAAGCCTTGGACGAAGCGGAGGGCGATGCCGCTTTCGATGGGAAGCCGGGGGTCATTGGCAAAGTACCGGCATCAGACAAACCACGTCCAGAGAAGAGACCAAAGACTCCTGAACAAGAGGCTACTCAGGCCACAGTTTTCTGAATGATCTGACTATTTAATTATTGCTTCATTGTTTTACATCGGAAACCCTTTTGAAAGAAATAATCATGCATGACTTGAAGCTGACCAGCAGGCGAACAACACGGCCCACAAGTACTTGACAGAGGCTGCAACTCTGACCAACACACTCTCACTGGCTGGATGCGACAAAGTGTTACTTGATTGCAACCCTCCCATGAGTCAATGCTAGAACCCTGCTGATCATACATCAAGCCAACGGCTCAGGAGCTCGCACTTCAAGACGGCGCTGGAAGCCGACTTGAAAGCTGTTGTTCATACCTTGACGGATGCGAAGCAACAGCTCGTTGACTGTTTGGCAACCAAAAAGGATGGATTGGAACCATACCTCAAAGTTTCTTGTTTCAAATGTCTTATAAAGGAAAAATGGCCACATCCTTCAACATCTCTTACAAATATTGCACCTTTATGCCTAGGTCAGGGGTACACCCGCTACCGGACTAAGGCGATGAAAACTGAGCTCACCAAGTTCAAGAAGGTGGCTGACACAATCAAGTCCCATACCAAGACCGCTGAGGCAAAGGCCGGTGCCAAAGGCAAGGCCAAAAAGGCAAAGGCCCTTCCTGTCTGATGTGCAGTTTTGGGATCATGGCTAGCTTTTGGGGGGTGCTGTGCGCAGGGTACCAGCCCAGCAAATCAGCGCCGCATGCAATTGCATGCAATCTTAATCTTCACAATGCACCAGGGGTTGTTTCCTGAAGTTATAATACATGGTCTCTCTCATGTGTGACGATGTGCAATGCTTGGCTTAGTGGTACCTCGATATATTTCCATTTTAATTTCCATAGACTTGCAGGCTTTGGTGCAACTGTGACCTGTCTTATGTTGCGTGGAGTCAGTGTGTGAACACGCTGTGTGGTTTTACCACAAACGCTATGGCCCGAGACAAGTGGAACAGCTGAGCGAAACATTATCATTTATGCGGATCGTAGATGATGTGTATATAATTATATATGCATGTTGGGTCCACTTTAACATGTTGATGCAGACTGGAAAGCTTAGTGATTATTAGATAGCCCACACTATCCCCCACTCCATTATGGCCGACCACCAGTATCTATATATATATATAATGCATATGAATATCGATATTATGATATGTTCCCACGCAGGTGATGGCGATGAACGTGAACATCCTGCCCGACCAGTCCAACCAGCTTATGCAGCTCACCTGTCCCTTGGCTTACCAAGACAATCCAAAACATACTGCAATGCAATTGGTTACCCATATAATTTTGGTGACCCATTTTTCACAACCACTTGTTCCATAAATCCCGGGCACAAGAACCAACCCATCCTCGCACCTCGAGCTCTGAATTGCCCAGGATGTCGCGCCTTGGCGAAGGCGGTGAAAGCTGTCGCAGCAGTGTCATCTCTGCAAAAGCTGTGGTTGAGGAGACTGAAGGGAAAACAATATTTTTGGACAATAATATCCTCAGCTGTAGCTATATTGTTGGTTGATCATACTGTGGATGGAGGAAATCCTGCACCAGTTAATAGATGGTTTATTCCATTGTAATCCCATTATTTACGATGTTTTATAGTTCCCAATAGTTACCAACTGGTGCAGGATTTCTTCCATCCACAGTATTTATATATATATATATAGTTGGTTTTATAACAAAGTTGCTTGGTTTTACAACAAGACCCTGAAAGCCAAACTGTTTCCAAAATCAATTGGGCCTAGTTGAGCAGCAATGAAATCGTTGCAGGAAGCAGGTGTGAAAAATGTTTCCCATGCAACTGCACGACTTGCGCGGGTGCAGTACACCTCGAATGCATCTAGAGACTTGTTTCGGTATGCCAGATTACCAGTCGACGTTGTATGGGTCAACACGGTGATCTTGCGAGACCCAGTTGGTGAAGAAACAGTTGAAGCAAAGCTTCCTATGTATGACCCCCATGAGCTCCTGGACTACTTGTGGCGAAGTGGCAAAATTTCAATCCCAAAGAAAGAGATTTTGAGACTCAGCATCGTTCTATATATCATTAATGTCAACCGTGGATTAATAAACCCTAGGCTGTTCAATTGGGAGGGTACCATTTAAGTATTAGATTATGACTATTGGAGGAGTACCCCCCTAATTAATAAACCATTGTTTATTAATCCAGGGTTGACATTACATGTTTTTCTGTGGATTTGGTCCCCCTATCTGCCATAGATCTTACCTGGTTGAATATGTGTATACTCATCAAAGGAAATATTGGAATCATTGGGCAAAAGTTGCAGAGTGGGCCGCTAACCACCCGGGGAGAAGAAGTTGCTCTTTTCCCATTGCTGTATATGGTGATGAAGCTACCTATAGCCGAACGAATTTGGAAAAATTCACTGCGCTGGTCTTGCAATCTCCCCTCCTGCACAAACGGAAAGGTGTGGTTTTTAAAAAATCTATAGCCACATAGTAAAACATAATTTAGATGTGTTCCAAAATCGACCCTGCAGGTCCTGCTTGGAACAAGTCATTCCTATTCTTCATTGTGTCTTCTGACCAAGCTGCCGGCACAGGTGGCATTGAATCTTAGTTGTTGGAAATTGCGTTAATGTTATAGTTAGGTTTGGTTTACTTTTTGGGTATGTCCAGCTATATATACCCCATAGCTTAAGAGTACCATTCGCTTACTGAGCTCAGGAAACTATGCGGCCTATTTTGAAGAGGGCAGCGTGGTCACTGAACTTGGCTTTGCAAGGTCACCGTCCACCAGTGGAGCTAGCTTTGCGCGATGGCTTTGAATTGGGACCCCGGGCCAAGAAAATGCCACGCAGTTTGACCATGACCTTCGCAATGACAGAAGTGAAGGGTGACTGGCAATGGATAGTTTTCACGTGGGAAACGTGGGGGCATTACTGGAAGTGCGGTTCAATTTGTCACAGGTGCAAAGCATCTCGCTTGCCCAGGTACCCCATAGTGGGAAAATGGTTTGGACCATTAAATAATGTTCAATAAAAGAATCCTAATATTCATCCCTTGGTAGGTCTAGATCTGATATAAATATGATTGAGTATATAATTAGAGGACCTTGGTAGTCATCCCACTTGATACGTCATATCCCCCAAACTTATCAATATGGGGTTAATCCACTTACTGGGCGGCCCTAAACAATTTTGGACGCGTGGTTTCACCCTGACAGATATGGACCTCTTTTTACTTTGTTCGACTATGATTGGCCACTTCGTGACACAGCTACGTTCATTCAACACTGCTTGCCGCCTGTTCCAAATCCGTTGACATCTGTATGGGGCTTTTCAGTGGACATGTTGCCCCTTGCCTGTGCAAACGTGGTGTTGTGGGAAATGGATTTACTATGTAGGGTGTCAACAATAAGTACGGTTATCAATTAAATCGACCCTTTTGGTGTTTATGTGGATCTAGCCATTACGGGACTCCTTGGGAACACCCTTTAGGCTCACAGACTATGATGTCCCTCAGGCGTTGGTGCTCAATGCATACCTGCAACCTTGGGATCTATCTAATCGTCATTGCTGAGAGCATCCTTTTGCTGGCGAATAACATGTATCCCAACCTTGACTTGGAAGATTCTCTGCAAATAACATTTCTGAAGTTCAAACAATGGCTATCGGAGAAAGGCATCAGCTGTAGCCAAAGAAGATGGACAACCAAATCCCTTCATTTGGGAGGGGAAGTGAAGAACTACCCGTGGCTGAAAGCAAAAGCATTCAACGCACGTGTCATTCTGGCTTGGCTAGCAGAAACTTGCCAATATGTGAATAACTAACTATTTATTACCATATTTCATGTTGTAGTCTTTTGGACCGTTTTTGGGCCAAGGACAGTCTTTATGTCTGTATGTGATTGGGGATTTTGACCTATGTTGGGTATATCATGTCCGCCCGCGCGGGCCCACACAGGATGAACTGAGCAGCCCTGCTGTCCGACAAGAGCTTTTGGCTGTTACCGACGGCCGGGACCACCAACATGCGCAACTCAACGCGCTGGGCATTGCAACTGTGCTACTTGGGTGTTCAAAGTTTCTATAGTGTTTTCACTTATGACTGCATCCCTTAAGAACAACAAAATAATGATCACGTATATGACCCCCAATACCAATACATACATCCTGGTTGCCAGGATATGTGGATACCTAATTTCTTGGTGGGGCGGATCATGACTGAGGGTATCCTTCGCCGAGTGGCAGAACTTGTGTGAGAGACTTCTCCAATACCTTTCTCCGGAACAAGGAGTTGATTTACACTTTGCTGGAATCACGGCCATTCACAGTTTCATGGCGGCTTCAAACCATGCTGCATCCCTGAAAGTATTTTCTTGGCTGGTCTTGCCGAAGATGCATGTATTTCATCATCTTCAATTGGACATTCAGCGTGAATTGTATAACTGCCGATATTTCCACAATTTTTCAGGTGAAGATTTCGTTGTGGCTCTCAAGGCCACATGCATGAAATGCTGCGGACCTGGGATGCCGTTGCGCGTGTTGAAACGCACGCTGTTGAGAGTTGTGTGTAACAATATCAAAGAAGTTGACGCGTTCAAGAAATAGAGAAAAGACATGGAGGCGCAGTAGTGGGCGCTCATGGGATACACCTGATTGAACATTGTTTTATAACATATTTCAACACTTTATCAATGATCCGTTCCCAAATGTTCAATGGTTCAACAACCTTGATTGGAACTGGTTCTAAGAACCAATGGAACTGATACCGTTTCCGTTGGAACTGGTCACCGTAGCACTTTCCCCACATATACTGGCAACC